TTCAGTCGTGGGGTTTGAACTCTGGCCTGAGCGCGGTCCCTCAGCTCTTGTTCTCAAGGCTAGCACTCTACCACTTGAGCTACAGCGCCACTTCCAGTTTTCTGATGGTTTATTGGAGGTAAGAGTTTCACCGACTTTCCTGCCCAGGCTGGCTTTGAACCATGATCTTCATATCTCAGCCTCCTGAGTAGCTCCAGTGCCCAACTATTCTATGACTCTTATCTCCAACTAACCACAAAAAACAGAGGCAGACCTATGGCACAAGTAGTAGATCACCAGCCTTGAGTAAAAAAGCTAAGGAACAGTGCCCAGAACCTGAGTTCAATCCCCAGTATTGGCGGGTACATACACACAGACACACATGCACACACTGACATGCACACACACATATACACATCAAAGACTTGAATGTAGATGTGAAAAATAAACCAGATAGAACTAGTAAGCACTAAAGAAACTAATAAATTTAGCTACTATTGGCTTACACCTGTAATCCTAGCTAATCAGGAGACTGAGATCTGAGGATCCCAGTTCAAAGCCAGCCCAGGTAGGAAAGTTTGTGAGACTCTTATCTCCAATAAACCACCAGAAAACCAGAAGTGGCGCTGTAGCTCAAGTGGTAGAGGGCTCCTCTTGAGCTAAAGAGCTGAGGGACAGCACCCAGGCCCAGAGTTCAAGCCCCATGACTGACAAAAAAAAAAAGAAAAAGAAAAACTAAATTAATAAATTTAAACATAAACAGAAAAATAAATCAGGAATATATCCTTATTAATGACTTACAGTTAAATAGTAAAATTCAAAATAAAAAGTTACTACATATTACCACACATTTTGAAGGTAGGCTGCAAACAGCAAAGTATTCAGATATATTAAATACTATATCCAAATGAAAATAAACCCAGGTGGGATTATCAGCAAAAAAAAATTAATAAAACTTACATCTTTAATTATCTTGGCTGCCTCGCTGGTAGTAGTACCTGTTATAAATTAAAGCATACATTGTAAATCCCAGAATATACTTAAGTGAAAACTGAAACCAAGAAGGTAATTTCCTTAGGTGGATTAGAGCCTACACCAGAATTTCTCAAAAAGATGGTACAAAGGAAGTTCATCGGTTCATCAGTTCATCAGTGCATCAGCTACAAGGCCTGGTAAAGGTCTAAGGCTCCCCATCCTCAGCCTATTCTACTGTATCCCAATCTCCAGTGGCAAGTATCTCCAGAACAAGCATATTGCTATCATTTGGGTTCTTAAAGAAGTGAACTTCAGCCTGGTGCCAGTAGTTCATGCCTGTAATCCTAGCTACTCAGGAGGCTGAGATCTGAGGATCACAGTTCAAAGCCAGCCCAGGCAAGAAAGTCCATGACACTCTTATCTCCAATAAACCACTAGAAAACTGGAAGTGGCGCTGTGGCTCAAGTGGTAGAGTGCTCACCTTAAGGTGAAGAGCACAGGGACAGCACCCAAGCCCAGAGTTCAAGCCCCACAACCAGCAAAAAAAAGAAGTGAACTTCCCATACTCCATCCTTTCCCACCCACATACCTTGCTTAATACCCACTCACTCTCCAGAGGCAGAGGAGTTTATTTCCCTATACAGTATAAGGTAGAGGAAGATACTACCAGTAAGAATACTTAGGCAACACTTACCTTACCAGCTAGCTAATGCCTTTACACCAAATCATACCTTTTAAAACACGGTTAGCGTTTCCTGTGGGTTGGGTAGGAGGTATTTTTGCCAATGACACCACACTGGTTATAACTGGTGTTGTAGCTTTCCTTGTAGAAGGGTGCTTGATCAACGCAGCTATTGTCTTAGGAGCACCCACTGGTTAAAATTTAAAAAAAGGTGAGACCTGATGTAAACAAAAGGGTCACTCTAACACACACAAACATCTGTTTGACAACTAAATTTTCAAGAAGTGGTAGAAATATCTAACTGTATAATTACAGGTTGGGTGGTTTGGGCCACATTAGTGCTCGCTGGGTTTAAAAAAAGACTGATTATGTAAAATTATAAACTTCAAATGACATTTAACAGGTTAATATAGTTACTAACTCTGGAATTAATTGGTTTGTTCTATAAGAAGTTTCCTTTAAGCCGGGCACTGGTGGCTTACACCTATAATCCTAGCTACTCAGGAGGCTGAGATCTGAGGATCATGGTTCAAAGACAGCCCTGGCAGGAAAGTCCATGAGACTCTTATCTTCAATAAACCACTACTAAGCCAGAAGTAGCACTGTGGCTCAAGCGATAGAGTGCTCGCCTTGAGCTGAGGAGCGCAGGGACAGCACCCCAGCCCAGAGTTCAAGCCCCACGACTGATTAAAAAAAAAAAGTTTCCTTCAAATAAAAATTTAACAATTTTTATAAAATTTTTAAAAATCTGGCAATCTTATAAGTAAATTGATAAAAGAGCTATCCATCCATCTTACAACAAGAATTGCCCACCACCACGACTGGTCCTAAAAACTATAAGGCTACACAAAGGCATAAAAATGCCTTTGTGCTCTGAACACATAAAGTAATATTTCTTGAATAAAAATAAATTAATTAATATTTATTGAAATGAACTCCAAGAAATGGAAACATCTTTGCTGCTTTTGTTTTCTTTCTTTCCTTTTTTTTTTTTTTTGGTCGGTTGTGGGGCCTGAATTCTGGGCCTGGGCACTGTCCCTCAGCTCTTCAGCTCAAGGTTAGCACTCTACCACTTGAGCCACAGCGCCACTTCCAGCTTTTTCTCTTTATGTGGTGCTGAGGAATTGAACCCAGGGCCTCATGCATGCAAGGCAAGCACTCTACTACTGAGCCACCTTCCAGCCCAGTTTTTGTTTTCTTTTTGTCTTCTTTGTTTATCTGTGTTTGAGAAGGTAAGGGGGGCACACAAATGGAGGGACAGAAGGTAAACAAATGCATCAGTGGTACTCACCAGCCACTATGTTGAAAGTAAACTATACAATTTGTAGATGAAATGGGAGGGAAAAACTGGGAGACAGCAAGGGAAGGGGTGACGCTGTCAAAAAGAAACTTAGGCATTACCTAACTTCTATAACTATAACTCTTCTTCTTTTTTTTTTTGGTCCGGTCCTGGGGCCTGAACTCTGGGCCTGGGCTCTGTCCCTCAGCTCTTCAGCTCAAGGCTAGCACTCTACCACTTGAGCCACAGCACCACTTCTGGCTTTTTTTCTTTTTGCTTATGTGGTACTGAGGAATCGAACTCAGGGCCTCATGCATGCGAGGCAAGCGCTCTACCACTGAGCCACCTTTCCAGTCCAACTGTAACTCTTCTGCACATGTCCTTTATAATAATAATTTGTTTAAAAAATGGACAGCTAATACAAAAGTCAGCATGAGGCATGTGCAGTTATGAAATTGTTACGATGGGCAAGAACATATTGCAAAGAGCCATAGGTTCTGCCAGTTAAGTAGCACTCTAGGCAGGCTTTAATCAGATTATATCATCAGTGTTTTTTTTTAATCTAATACTTGAAATATACCACATATCTATCTATTTATTCTTTGGAGTGTTTTGACCACATTAACTGTCCTACTTGTACAACTATTTTATTCTTAGCCAGGAAAAAACTTTGCTACCTACGAAGAATTGGTCTACTTTATTTTCTGAGATAATTAATGTGCTGTCCTTTCTTCCTTGGCTATGAGCAAGTTCTAGATCATATTTTACAGCAGTCACAATTATATTAATAAACAAATCTCCCTTTTCTTTGCCCTGATTTTCTATTTTTATTTATAATTTATTAACTTACGTTCACATAAATTCAATGAAAAGCAATCACAATAGTTGGATGTGGTGGCTGACCCCTGTGGTTTCTGCTACTCAGGAGGAAGACATCAAGAAGACTGCAGTTCAAGTACAGTCTTGATAAAAAGTTCATAAGACCCTATGTCAAAAGTTCACAGACAAGGCTGGGAAGATGGCTCAGTGGTGGAGTGCTTGCCTTGCATGCATGAGGCCCTGGGTTCAATTCCTCAGTACCACATAAGCAGAAAAAGCTGGAAGTGGAGCTGTAGCTCAAGTGGTAGAGTGCTAGCCTTGAGCTGAATCGCTGAGGGACAGCGCCCAGGCCCAGAGTTCAGGCCCCACAACTGGCAAAAAAATCAAAAAAAAAGTTCACAGACGGTCTGGAAGGTGGCTCCGTGGTAGAGTGCTTGCCTTGCATGCATGAGGCCCTGGGTTCGATTCCTCAGCACCACATAAGCAAAAAGAAAAAAGCCGGAAGTG